TATTTTGGTTCAGAAACAGTGTAAAGCTTCTATTTATTTACTCTGCAACCCCGCACAGTGCACATCTCCATTTATAAGCCAAAGAGACGGCGTTGTCTAAAGACACCGCTAAGGTCATGTGGCCAGAATGACTGCATGCAGCGCCGTTACCTCCCAAAGAACTATCTATTGATCACATTTGCGTGTTTTCAAACTGCTAGGTTGGCAAGAGCTGGGGCAAATAGCGGGAGCTCACCCTGTGCTACCAGGGGGCTTCATGGTGCTGTTAGTCCAATAATAATTCAGAAAATTTTGTGCAATGACACATGGCCTATTGGTGGAGTCATGGCACTGATAGTCACATGAACACTTTGGCTCAACCCAAAGCAGGATATGCCCAACGCCTGGGCATTATTCCACCCATAGGATACAGAACTGCAGTCAACTTGCACTGAATTCCACTCAGTAGGGTTTTTTTAAAAGTAGGAGCCAAATCATTTGATAGAACAGAAGGGCAGCATAAACTTATTTCTCCAAATTTTCCAACTTAATATTTCTATGGTGTACACCAGTTAAAGTTTCCACACATTTTTCAAAGTGGGTACTCAGTGTGGCTATGGGATATGTGGCCTCACCCCATTTTTTTTTCTTTGACAAAGAAAAACAAGCAACAACTCAACTTCTTTTATAGAAGCTTGTGGATTCAGTTTTTAAAGTGTGTTAAGTGTAGAGCTGAACCTGTTGGTTTGTATTACGCTCAGATTTATAGTAGAAATGTTAAAAACACTGGCGGGAAAACTTCAGTTAAACTGATCTTTGAAAATCATTTTGTATAAACAATTACTTATGAACTGTCCTGATAAAGGAGAAGTTTGACACAGGACTTCATCCACCACCAAGTTTTTGTACACAGTGAGAAGTGGAAACTCTTTGAAGAGGGCAAGCTGAACTTCAAATCCATCTTTTCCGTAACAGCAGTCAGCTTCTGAGTTTTTAAAAGAGATACCTGACAAAATTAGAACTGTTAGGTGATGGCCTAAAACATTTTACACTGCAATTTTCAAATGTCAGCCTCAGTAAGGCATTCCAATAAGTGAGACTACACGGAGAAGCCACTGAAATCCACAAGCAAGTGGACAATTTCAACAGAAAGGAGGAAACCATGAAAATGAACCAAATCTGGCTACCAGTATTTAAAAAAAAACTCTACAATCAGGACAGTAAATAAAGAGCAACACTCAAAAAGAAGGGGAATTCCAGACAGGAAACAATCAGGGCCAGCTAACTCCTCCCAACAAAGGATCCCCCCAGAGAACAATCAGCCAGGCTTTGAAGCTACAGGGCCATTAAAGAAGGGCCACTAAAGAAGAGAAGGCTGAGAGGAGACATGATAACCATGTATAAATATGTGAGAGGAAGTTATAGGGAGGAGGGAGAAGGATTGTTTTCTGCTGCCCTGGAGACTAGGACGTGGAACAATGGCTTCAAACTACAAGAGAGGAGATTCCATCTGAACATTAGGAAGAACTTCTTGACTGTGAGAGCCATTCAGCAGTGGAACTCTCTGCCCAGGAGTGTAGTGGAGACTCTTTCTTTGGAAGCTTCTAAACAGATGCTGGATGGCCATCTGTTGGGGGTGCTTTGAATGCAATTTTCCTGCTTCTTGGCAGAATGGGATTGGACTGGATGGCCCATGAGGTCTCTTCCAACTCTTTGATTCTATGAAATGCTAATCAAGGTAGCTAACTGCAAAATTCTCACTTGCCTCAAACAGACAAGAGTTTTTTCTCCCATCCTGGACATTTCATAGATATATAAACCTCACTTGCCTAGTTTCCAACAGACCTCACAACCTCTGAGGATGCCTGCCGTAGATGTGGGTGAAAATTCAGGAGAGAATACTACTGGAACATGGCCAGACAGGACAGAAAAATCACAACAACCCACATTCCAACATAATATCAAAAATGTCATATTCAAAAATGTTCAAGGTGGAAGTTCTCCAGCTTTCAAGTATTGATTTTCATTGTACTTAATTTGCCACTTCCATCACTGAGCTATAGCAAATGATTACCACAAAGCAAATGTTTTGGAAGTTAATTGTATGTATCTTTTTCTTTCCCTCTATATAACACAAAGAATAAGTTTTCTAAAGTTGTTTCCTCGTCCTGATACAAATAAAGTTGTTATGGGGACAAGCAAACTTCGGTCTATCAACAAGTTGGCTTCCCCTTCTGTGGAGCTGCCAGCAGACAAAAACAAGAGAAAGAAACTCCTTCCCAGTTTTTGCTTACTTACTTCCTAAGCAGAATGACATTTCAAAACATAGCCTTGAGGCTGTCAAATGTCTAGTCAAGGTAGCAAAATAGTGAAAGCAAGCAATTCAGCTGTCAAGGAAAAAAACAAAAGCCTTTTCATCTTTCCAAAGACGTTACTAAATAATAAATTATTTCCTTCCTGTACTTTTTTTTAGCAAGCATATAACAAAACACAATTTTGACATTCAAGCACTCTGAATCTGCAAGAACAGCTTACCCAAATCTCCTGATGGTTCATATTTATATAATTTTTTCTGGTTTGTCTCCAAAAAACTTTTGTTTTCACATGGAGGTTATATTTTCTCATAATGTCGCTTATGAAGATTTTGTGTGTTCATTTTTGGTTTTGCCTTCAGAAGAGCACCCCTTGATTCTGTACTAATTCAGTGTGCTAAATCTTTTGCTAGAGTGATAGGAACAATTGCCTTATTTCCATTTTAGGGGGGAGGAATGAAAATATTCCCCCCAAAATGTAAGGAAACCTGGACAAGAAGAATCCTGAGTGGATGAGAATCTTCATTTTGGGATTTATTCAGTATCAAAAACAAAGTAAATTATATTTTTGTTCCAAAAGGAGAAAAATGAACTTTCTGCATAGAAAATGTTTGTTGTACACGATTCCTTTTTTCTGCACAGAAAACTACTTGTATTTCTTATACAGGCAGTACCCAAGTTACAAACAAATTCTGTAGGAATTTGTTTGTAAATCGAAATGGGCATATCTATCAATCTCGCTATCTAGCTATTCATCTATCTTTGGATAGCATAGGGAAGGGTTAACACCCATGTGGAGTTTCTTTTGCTGCCTGTGCCCCTGTTCAGAATATTTCACTTAACTTTCTGTCCCTGTGAGAATTGGATTTTGTAAAAATTGGCTCATTGTAGAAATAAGGATTGATGGTAAAGCTTCAGTGATAATAATTCTTTGAGGAGTGAATTTCCCTTTGTTCCGAGGGGTAGATTTCTCTCACTTCCTGTTGTCTCATAGAATCATAGATTTGGAAGTTGGAATCACAGAGTTGGAAGAGACCACATGAACCATCTAGTCCAACCCCCTCACCTCCATTATTAAATATGAGTAAGTTGAATGTTTGTAACTCAGGGACTGCCTGTCCAGAAAAAGTCCCAATCTACAGACTGTCACCAAAAAATGAAGAATTCTTAACAGCTTCTTTCACCAAAGACAAGAAGGGTAAAATTATTTGTTCACGCCTGAAAGAACAAATTTTACAACAATGTACATTTATATTATTTCTATCAGCACAAAGAAATCCCTCACTCTGGAATATTTATTTCTGTTTCTGATTACGAATTTGTTTGCCTGGTTATTTCAACTAGTCAGTTTTAAATGTTTGCATTTTTCTACTATTTGGGCTTTATTTATTTAGGTTCTGATGTAACATGCAACTTACTTAAATAGACTAGGTCTACAGTCTGGGTGGATGCCCTGGAATGCTCTCCCTAAAGCAGTTGTTCCCAACCTTTTGTTGACCAGGGACAACTGAACCAGGGACCACTTTGACCAGAGACCACTCTACAACATTAGTACCAAAAGGGTTACAAATCAGTTTTTGGTCAACCTTAGATTTGGTTTGGGGTGCTGATTCAGAAAATTGCATTGGATAGAACACATCAGCTCGAGTTTCTAATACAGAACATACACCATGGTCAGCAACATGGAGAAAGTGTCAGGTGCCATGAAAAGAGTGGAAATAAAATAAAAATAAAATAAAGAGGAAGAAGGCTCGCAGACCAGATTTTTGTCCTCGTGGCCCACTGGTGGTCTGTGGCCCATAGGTTAAGATCCACTGCCCTAAAGATATCAGGCAGGTGCCCTCTCTGGCTAACTTTAGGAAAGAACTGAACACCTGGATGTAGAAGCTGGCTTTTGAAAATGGTTGACTACTTCATGATGATGGTGGTCTTTTAGCCTTGTCAATACCTATTGGTTTTAAACTGGTTTTGCCTCCATAGTGCAATATGTTTTTAAACCCAGTACAATTTTAACCTTTGTTTTTATTGTGATATCATTTCTGAACTTCTGTTTATGATTATTGTTTATATATTATGTCTTGTCTTTTTGGTTTTTTGCTTATGTATGTATTGTGTCTTGATTCTGTTGTGAGCCTTCCCGAGTCCTTGTGGAGAGGGAGCAAGATATAAATAAAGATGATGTTGATGTTGATGGTGGTGATTATTATTATTATTATTATTATTATTATTATTATCATTATCATTATCATTATTATTAGCTTACTAGCATTAATACTAGGCCTTAACCAGCTGGATCAGAACTAAGAAGGTGGTCACATTCAGAGGTAGTGTGCAAGGTCAGTGTGGATAAATGCCTCATGCACTGCCATAAAAAGAAAGGCGAGGACATTAACAGAATTTAGAGTTCTCTAACAGAAAATCAGCAGGCTTGGGGTTTGTTTGTTTGTCTCCAACTGAAAGGAGGTAGGACTAGAGCTGAAGTTGTAAACTAGCGAATGACACAACCCTTAAACATCTTAAGCACAAAGAAAACCATGAAGCAAGGAGCTTCTGTTTCACTACTAGCAACACCACAGTGGCTTCTCAAAATGGCCAGTACTTGAGAGTGGCAATTATCCATGTTTTCGCCTATCCCCAAAGTCTTGTTTTTTTTTTTTAGACCATTGCATTCTCTTTTCTCCTGGCACAAGGAGATGATTTCAAGCTTACCTGCTCTTTGTCAGGTTTGTCAGAGATGTCATTCAAACTGGAGGAAGTCAGGTTTCTGTGCGTCATGGCTGGGCTGCCTGCAAGCACAAGGTCAAGAACACTGATTAAAATATCACTTGGAGAGTAATAACAAAGAACACGGAGGCTCAGCTATAGCAATACTTGACCAAGGCAGTCTGAAAATTACATGGAGGGTATCTGAAGGCTTAATATAAGAAAATAGGATATAAAATATTAATATCTAATCTGATCTCAGAGATATGACGATCCCTGTCCGTTGAAGGAAGAGTCAAGACTAAGCAGTTGCAGAATATATTTATACTCTCCAACGTATCTTCTTCATCCTCTTAGGCTATGGGGTAAATGGGAGACAGCAGCATGAAAATGCTATTTATCTTTATTTCCAGGCTTCTGAAAAGCAAGTCAATAGCTACTGTAGAAATAGAGTTTTATCTAGCAGAGCTCTTCTGTGGTTCACTGATGGTCTGATTTTGGTTGCTTAAACAGCAAGAAGGTGACATCATCTGCAGTCAACTAAGCTAACTCACCAAAAAATAGAGCATAACGATGATTTCCTAGCAGAAAAACAACTTTTCTCCATTTGATCCTCAGAGCAGTAACAATGTTAAATATAACAAGTATAGTGCTTTTTTAACCTCTAAAATCCAAAAGTACCCTCAACCAATTGGGATGGGCAAAATGTGACCCAGAACATTATAGCGGTTTGAGTATGGGATTACAATTCTGGTAACTGGGATTCAAATCTCCATTTTGCATGGAGACACATTGGGTGACCTTTGCCAAGTTACCTTCTCCCAGCCTCAGAAAAAGGCAGAAGCAAATCTGACCTAATCTTGTCAGGAAAGCCCCGTGGGAACCTTAGAATCCTCATAAATTGGAAATACCATGAATGCATACCACCACCAGAACAACAACAACATCTGTCCAATTTTGAGTTGGCAAACTGTAGCTCTGAGGCTGAATGTGGCCCTCCATGGCTGTTTCCGTGACCCCTAATTCATTCAGACATCCCAGACTATCTCTTCTCTAACAAAGACAAAAAGAGCCTGCAGGAGGAGGAACTCACTTTTTTGATATAGAAACTCCTACTAACATCGAAAATGACATATTTTTCAAAACCCAATGTTGGTTCCCAGCTACTTCCACTTGTTTCTTTTTGCTTTTGGTAGTTTTTGACAGACTGTGCAATCCCTGGTAAGGACCGGCGTGGAAAAACATCTCATTGCCCACTTAAGCCCTAGATGCCAATAAGGGTTTCATGGAATTTAATACATCTATTTCTGACCCTCAAATATTTAAGTGTAAGAAATTAAGAGTGGAACGTAATTTTTCTAGAACAGCTTAAGGGCTTGGCAGCATCTCCAGCAAGAAAAATAAACTCAAGTCCAACAGGACAAGAACACTTGTGAAGAGATATTAGGATTGCAGCCGATACATCTGATGATACAGTCTCCAAAAATCACCTTTACATTAACAGTCCCAGACTCCTTTCAAAAGGTTTACTGCTATTCAAAGGTTCATAGGAGTTTGGGAGGCTGAAACAAGCCAAGAAAAAAACCCTTTTTTCAGTAACTAAAATTTTGGAAGTGGCCTAAAACCTAACATCAATTTAGTTTCCTACTCCTGGAAGTACATGACAGATCCCTTTATAATGTGTCCTTTTAATCTGTACAGATCTAATAACAGAACTACCAAATAGCAAGAGAAAATGGCATGTTTGGAACACTCAATGACATCAAGCAGGAACATTTTGTTCAGGGGTTTTTTTCCTATGTAAACCGACCAACTTCTGTTAATTTTGCCTGGTGGTAAATGGACTAATCAAGATCAGGAGACAAATGCATTAAGAAGATACCTGGTGCCTCAAGTCTTTGCCAAAAATGGCATAAAGAATGGCTTACTTTGATCAAAATGGAGACAAATGTGCCAAACCAGTCTAGCTTTCTTGTTTTGCTAATGAGACAGGCATACATCATCTCAGAAAGCCCACAAACCTCTGGACTGCATTGTATTACAATGGTCCAGCTTTATCAGACAGATATTTTCTTCCATCAATTCCATAGGGAGAAGTGTTTAATTCCTATTGACTAAGACTGTTGGATCTTAAAATCATTTCTTTTTAGACAAGCCTTGAAAAGTTATATTTTTCAGACTACAACTTGTAGGATATCCCTATACTGTATGGCCTATACCAGCCAAGCTAGCTGAAATTCTGGCTGCTATAGTAAAACAACAACAACAACATAAACTCACAACTTTTCCAACCTGTTTTGACTGTGTACCACTTCTTCTAGATCATAGCTGGCCAGTCAGAAAAACCCACTTCACCAATTTGGTAGACAAGATAGACAGCATTGCTCATCCCAATGCTTTGACCACAGAGAGTGACCATTTCCATGCAATTGCCTGACCTAAAGATCATACTTAGCTTCACATTAAGCTAAAATCCTTAATTCGAGTCAAATAACTGACAAAAATATTTTCCTGTATGTTTGTGCTTATACTGAGAAAAATATGTCAAAAAGGATAAAAGAAAGATATGAACACTTTATCAACTGAAGAAGGAATATGTTGATTACATTCAGGTTTGGAACTGATATTGTATAAATAAAATGTGGATTTCGCTAGTCAAGAGAGGAGACAGATGTCTGACTTTTAGCTCACTTATGTGCTGATTCTCATAAATACAGAGTGTGCAAATAATACTAATGGAGAATAAGGGTGCAAGGAGTCCACGTTGGTGTGGGACTGGGAAAATTCTGATCCATTTAGAAAAAGTTGTGTAGACTCAATCATTATGTACCCTACTGACTAATTACACTGTGGAATACAATTTGGAAAAAGAATCTGTTCCTGGTTTGAAAGTGTCATTTCCCACTTTATTGTGCGGTACTTACTTTGAAAGTAGTTATTATACTCAAGAAACTTTGTTTTTGTGACTGCCACAAACTATGTTGAATTGTGTTGTCGAAGGCTTTTATGGCCAGAATCACTGGTTTGCTGTGAATTTTCTGGGCTGTATGGCCAAGTTCCAGAAGCATTCTCTCCTGACGTTTCACCCACATCTATTGCAGGCATCCTCAGAGGTTCCCTCACCCTGGACAATCCTATAAACCCCACTTGCCTAGTTTCCAACAGACCTTACAACCTCTGAGGATGCCTGCCGTAGATGTGGGCGAAATGTCAGGAGAGAATGCTTCTGAAACATGACCATACAGCCTGGAAAACTCAAAGCAACCCTATGTTGAATTGGTTGAGACTCTATGTCATATGTTCCATAGTTGATGGTGGTTGGTGGTGGTAGACCTGGCAGTTGGTGATGGAAGGGTTAATGTAAGTCTTGGTTCTAAAGGGCTGAGTAGTTTGTTAGTAACAGTTTACCGGTAAAAGCAATTAAGGGTGGAGGTGTGCAGGAGATGGGTTGCAGCTGGGTGTTACTGGATTTAAGGAGCTAACTTTGAGACTTATCTTTGGGAGAAAAGTATGTGTTGCATTTTGGTGGTGGATGTTGTTGGTTTTCCCCCCAGGTCTGTTGGATTTTCGGTGTCCTGACCTGTTTCCTGTAAATCTTGGAATCTTGAACCTTTGGACTGGCTTTTGACTACGGTATACTCTTGATCCCTGGACTTTGTTTATTGAACTCTCGGCATTTGACCATTGGACTGGACCCTTTTGACTACGAACTTATTTTTGCTAACAGTTTTTGTTTATTCTGTAGCTGAGTGCTATCTTTGTGTTTTATATTTTGGACTATAAAAACAGCCAGCAAGTAAGTGCTGTTTTAATTAAACTGTTTGTTAAAACTGGGAGTTTTGATTCATCTCTACCTAAACAAGGTAGAACCCTGGCAATGTGACACTCTATGAGGTATTCATTGAAAAACTATAGCAAAATGTGCTGCAGGATGTACCACAAAAGCAAAGTTTTTGCAATTTAGTAAACTTTTTGTCTGTGTTTTTTTATGATAGAACCAATTAGGAAATGACATTTTCAAGCCAGGAACAAAAATTGCATTACACAGTGTCATAGGATCCTTGAAAGGACAGATAGATATTATAATTCATTTCATATGTGATAAACCTCCATGCCATAACTGGTGTGCAAGCAAAGCTCGTGTGTTCAGTTCAGAAGCATTGAAGGGAAAGCCATTCCTACATCCCAGGTTTTCAACCAACTTGTAGTTCCTGCTTTAAAAAAACAATAAGAGCAGCTTCTACATGCAAAGACACAAATGGAAAATATCTCTGTAATTTTGCTTTTGTGACATTGACCATGAAACATCCGCCACCCCCAAGCATATACATACAAACCCTTGAAGCAGAACGTGCCCAGGAAAGTGTGCTCCCAACCCCGCCATCCACTTACTTAGCCATCCCACGCTGGGGCTGCGCTGCACCCGGATTTCATCATCCAACGTGCGGGTTGCTAGGCAAGGAACAGAACTCTCAAGCGGGCTGCGGGCTTTAGTGTTGCAAGCAGAAAGGACAGCGGGAGCCAAGAGCAGCAGTAAATAGCAAGGCGAAGAAGGAAGACAGCAGAATTAAGAGAAGAGGCTCAGGCAAAGGCATACGCAAGAAAGTTAAGACAGAAAAGCATTGGACACGCAAGTTAATATGTCAGAGTAGAAGACACATCCACACCGCAAGGAGACGTGACTCAAGTTTCAAACTCCTGTAGCTGTATTTGTGAAATCTTTCATGACTTTGGCCCTTTTGAAGCTTTCCAACTTGCAATTACATTTGGATGTGTACACATTCAGCCTTCCACATTTGAGAGTTTCAAAGCACTTTTCTCATCCCTGTGGTCCTTCTCTGCACCTATTCCAACTTGTCAATGTCCTTCTAAAATGGAATACCCTGAACTGAACACATGATTCCAGATTTAAAGCCTGACTAGTGTAAAATACAGTTGGATGAAGATAGTCAAGCATCAATATTGACAGATTTGAGTTTTGAGGATTTGATTAACAGAAGTCTTTCGGTCCCTCAGTGTGATTCTATGGTCAACTTCTGCAGGAAGGACCTAGAGATTTTTAGTGAGTTGTTGTACAGTCAAT